ATGCACAGAGGCCACGACGAAGAAAAGCAGGTTGCTTACCTGTAACTGATGTTCTTCGAGTGGCCATCTGTGCAGTCACACAACCCACCCGCCGGCCCCGCTCGGGGTCAGTGAGTGGAAGTTGTTGACAGTACTGCACTATTTTTAAAAGATGCCTACTTCATCTTCTTAGGATGAATTCTTTACACTAGGGGGTGAACGTCTGGTCTGTCAAAGACTGGGACCAGACTGGGACCCCCTCATATATACTACTGAGGGGGAGAGGAGCGGAGTTTCCTGCCAAAACCGTTAGCTTTCAATCTTCCGGCCTAGGCACTGCACAGGCACAGCACCCATATGTGTGACTGTACAGATGGCCACTCAAAGAACATCAGTTAACAGGTAAACAACCTGCTTTTCTCTGTTTTAGAAACAAAAATGCAACGAATTAATAAAATAAGAAATAAAAAACCAAGATAAACTAGTAAAAAGAGTAGTAACACTACAGCATTACATGAATTGATAGTTTTGCTTGAGTTGCTTTCTCTAATAGTGAAGTAATGGTTCCCAGAACAGATTATGGAAAGAAGTAAGCTGGTTTGGATGACATGACAGTCCACCAAAATTTGGTATTATAGATAGGTTGTCATGTCATTCCAAGTGCTTCTATAAAAGTATTTCCTGATTAATGCTAGTTCTTCTGCTAGAGGCAGGAAATGGCATGCATATCATTTATTCCATCAGAAAATTTGTTTGTTTGTTTGTTTAACTTGTTTTTTTTCTGTGGACACACAAAGTGGCTGACAAGATTAAACACTGTGGCACATTAAATAACATACGCACAAAACACACACTTTAAAACCACAGAAGATGAAACTAATAAGCAGCAGAATAAAAAGCAAAAATATCTTTCTTTCTATCATTCAGTATTCTGTGAAATTTCAGAAAAGAGGGAGTTGTTATTCTGTACACCAACAAATTGTTCAATCACTTTATGTCAATTGTAGATCCTCAACTACTTTTTAAAGAACTTCCTTTTACATCTCATTAATTGTACTGAATATAATAGAATTAAATTCTTCAACTGGTTTTCTATTTACATAATTAGTTAATTTTGCCATCACTGTATATTCTGCCAGCTTCTTTTCCCATTCTTCAATTGTTAGAGATTCTAATAATTTCCATTTAGAAGCAATTGTAACTCTTGTTGCACTTGTCATATATTTAAATAACTCTGCCCTGTTCTTTGAAAAAAGTCTCTGTGATTATATTCAAAAGCATATTCTTAGGGCTCATAGGAAACTTAGGTTTAAAAGATTTTTTTATTTTCTCATGTATCAATGTCCAAATTCTTTTGTTTTACAAGTCCACCATATATGGGAGAAAGTCCCATCCACCTTGTTACATTTCCAACATTTTCTATTGTAGTTCTTATCTATTTGCTCAATATCTTTTGGAGTAATATACCACCGATAAAACATTTTATACCAATTTTCTCTTAATGTTTGACAAGCTGTGAATTTAATGTCTTTCTTTCATAAAGCTTCCCATTGACAAGGTGATATTTCTTCTCCAAGATTTTGCTTCCTAATTATCATACATTTCTTGTCTTGCTGATTGTCAGTGTCATGCTGTAGTAACTGTTTGTAAGTGTCCCTAGATGATCATTCTGTTGTATAATCAACTTTTCAAAATCTGTCAAATTTCTTAAAGAACCTTTCCCTGATTGTATTTCCCCTTTCAATCTTGAAATCAGTTGATGATAAACAAACCACTGTATGTTTTTCCCTTCATCTTTTCATTGTTGCCAAGATTTGACTCGTCCTTGTTGATCAAACATACTTCTATAAGTTATAAAATCATTATTTTTCCTTAAGTAGTTTCCGTATGCTTCAACCAGGGACATCAGAGGAGAGACTAGAGGTCTTTTTTTGGTCATGGAATACCAATTTTTTATTATGCCATCTATGTATGGTTATTATTTGATCTCAGGGCCTTTTTAACCCGCTCTTTAAACCATAAAAGATTGTGTATTCCATCTTCAAGATCTGCTATTTCTAACTTCACCCAACAATCATTAGCATTTATAATCCAATCTGCAATACAAACCAGTCCAGCTGCATAGTAGTATAGTTTTAAATTAGGTACTGCAAGGCCTCCTCTTTCCTTTTCATCCTGAAGGATTTTAAATCTAATCCTCGGCTTTTTGCCATTTCAAATAAAAGTATTTAGTTGCCTTTCTAGTCTTGAAGAGTTTTTCCTGGTATAGCAATCTGAAACAGAAAGTTCAATTTAGGTAGTACATTCATTTTTATAATGGAAATTCTTTCCAATCATGATACTTTTAGTTTAGTCCATTTTTTAGTAAATCTTTTTGGCTCTTCATCCACATTATTTGATGATTACCTTGAAATAGTGTGTCATTATGTCTTGTGATATTTATGCCTACATATTTAACTGGGTTTGAGGTTACTTTACATCCTGAAATCTTTTTCGTACTTTCCTCTTACTGCTCTGTTGCAAATTTTAGTATAATTTTGGGGGGTTTTGTTATTGATCTTATAGCCTGTATAGAGTCCAAATTTTTCAATTTGCTCCATTATATACTGTATAGACTGATGTGGATTTCGAATAGTCAAGACTGTGTCATCAGCATAACATTTCATTTTGTATTCTTCCCGTTTTAAAGCCTTTGATTTTGGGTCTTGTCTTTTTTGCTAAAATTTCCAGTACAATAATAAATACAAGAGGAAATGAAGAACATCCTTCGTGTGTTCCCTTCTTCATTTGAAAACTGTCAGTTAATTGAAATCTTAGCATGTTGTTTAGTAGAAATTGCTTGAATCCAGTTCAGAAAGCTTGAACCAAAACTATTTTCATTCAGCACTTAATAGGGAAAGGGCTAATAGTGTCTTCCCCAACCTGGTGCCTTCCATATAATGTGGACCATAACTCTGTCATCCCAGTCAATTAGCTGTATTGCCTAGTGCAGTTGGTTACTGTAGGCCAAAAGCTGTAGAGGGCACCTAATGTGACTCAACTGATGGATCACAAGGGGAAGGAATTCCACAGTCTTAGTGACACTATAGAAAGGGTTCCTTCACAAATGCACATACATCTTATGTTACATAACAGTGAAACCACTGGCAGAGCTTCAGGTGCCAATTTTAACCAGCAGACAGACTCATAAAGGAAGAGAAGCCATAGCTACATTTCTCTCCCTTTTCAAAATTTCTGCTGTTGATAATCCATCAGCTCTAAGGCCTTGGAGGTATTTACTCTGTATCTTTATCAGTTAACCCTGTAGCTGTCTCTCTCTCTCTCTGTTTTCTGAGATGGAAGAGAAGATTGCAATTTGCTTCTGATTGACCTGCTTTGGATGCTGTCAGCTAATATGTGTAAATTCATCTAGCGAGGAGAGGTTTTCATAAGCTAACTGTTTATTTTTAAGCCTATCCTAACTCCCCGATCTCTCAGAACCTAATAAAGCCACATAGAAGGTGGTACAGTATGGAGAATGTGTGTATTTGCATCATTTGAATGGGAAGTCCTCCAGATTGGTGCACAAGGATCACATTCAGCTCCTCACCAATGTACAGTTACTGTCATTCTTGTTTATTCCAAACTATTATTTGAGATAATCAACTCATTGTCTCTCTACATTTAATAGAGAAAAAAATGGGTGATTTAGAATAGTGTTAGCCTGATGAGATCATTGATTGACCTGTCCACTTTTCTTCAAGAATTTCTGCTGAACCCTGAGTATGAACTTAACATTCCAATCTTTAAGATTAATGTACAGTATTTGAATGTGCTGTCAATGTCAGCAAAGCAATTGCAACTTGAAGCTTCCTGGAACAATGGGTTGAATTACAGTGTGATAACGATTGCCAAGATACCTAAATGCAGTATGCATGGCCAGTATCTGCACAATCAGCAGTGGAGATATGCGACACTGGAAAACTATTCTGTTTGAACTTGAGAGACTTCTGCTTCTCCTCTTCTCCTTCTATACCACCGAATAGTTGAAGCTCTTTGGGTGGTTCACAACTATTTATCAAAGTACAATAAGAAAAAAGGATACACTAAAAATACAGATACAATAAAACACAGTGTATAATTCCAGTGTTCGAAACTGAAAACCATGTATACATCTAAAACAATTTCAGTTAAAATTAACCTGATAAAAACAACCGACATGTACCATCATATACCATTAAATGCCTGAGAGAAGAGGGAAGTTTTAATCTGAACCCCAGAAATGACAACACTAGCACCAAGTAGGCTTCAGTGGGGAAAGTCCATGATTGGGGTGGCACCACTGAGAAGGCTCCCCTGCTTGTTGTCTCTTTCTGAGTGTCCCTTGGAGTTGGAGATCAGAGGAAAGCCCCAGATCCAGATCATGTAGATTGGGTCACGGGTGGTGTTCAATCATCTGTTGTGGATCTAAGCTGTGTGGAGCTTCATAGGTTAAAATGAGTACTTTGAATCCCCCATAACTTCTAACACATTTCCAACCTGATGGCTAAAAGTAGGCCAAGTCTGGGAGATTTTTTTTGCTTTTGCAAAATTGTTTGAAATATTTATGCCAATTTATAGGTAAGAACTGCCTCTCTCTAGCATAATTTGTGCAAATCGGGGCCAAATATTAGGTTAGAGTCATTTCTTCTTCTTTTTTAGCATTTAAAATGAGAAGTTTGGAAGCATCCTTTTCTCATTGCCCATGCACATACTTACCTTGGCCACTTTGAATTTTCTGACAGTAAACTTTTGTGTAAAATTTGAGCTTCTGCTCTACAATTTGCACAATTTTATATGTTAAAATGTGCTAAACCATAGAAAAACTTGTTTTCTTTGTGGCATAACCATTTTAAGACTAATTTGTACAGTCATTGTTGAGAACTGTTACTGTCTGCACTCCTCTCTTGTGTGGTTGTTCTCTTGTATTGTCCAGCTGTTGTGTAACTAAATGCTTTAGCATTTATTAAGTTTCAGGCTTCTCTTTTTCTTTTCTTTTAAAGATATTTAACACAGTTCCAGATACGCCTCAGTCAAATTCACAACTGCTTTTGTCTCGAAAGAGGAGCACAGATTCAAAGCCACCATCATGCAGTGAGAGGCCCTTAACGCTCTTCCATACTGTGCAGCCTAGTGAAAAGCGTATGTATTTGAAAACTTTGTGGAGCTGGCTGTGTTGTAATATTGTGTTGCATTATCTCAGAATGGCCAAGAGCACATATTGGATTGTTACATTTTCAAATAGCCACCAAATAGCCAAAATTGCCTGGATATTTCACAACAATTAAAAACATAAAATACAGTAACATGATAAAGCAAAATGGAACAGTTTTAAATTGCAGTTTTATCAGCATTAGTGAGTCAGGGATCTATGCTTGCAAGGAAAGATTACTGATTGATATGGCATCTCTTTCATCAGTTTGATGTCACTTCCTTAAATGTTACCAAATATTAGGATTATTCGGGGGGATACTCACTTTGGAAATATATGTATATTCTTTCCAACTATAAAAATTCTTAGGAGGGAGATATGTTTTTGATCATCTGCATGCTCAGGACCCAGGTGCTATATTCTGAAGGGTCTTCAAACTTGTTAGTAGTAGTATTTATTAGAGTTGTGCCCCACATTTTTTTCTTACATACCCAAAGTGGCTTACATCATTCTCCAAGATTGTATACTTTAAAGTATGTGGATGTAAATATTTAACATAGATGAACAGCACATTTTCCCCCATATTATCCAGTTCAAGCAATATGAATTAAAAGTATACATTGCATGTAAATGTAGTGTACACCATCACATCTGAAACATGTGATTGGCTGTGGTCCCCTAATTCATGTACAGTAGGTAAATAGACCCACATAACTGATTGTGATCAAATGTCAAGAAGCCCATGCATTTTCATACTCTTTTGTTTTGGCTTGTTTTGGTTTTTTGCACTGCTAAGTCACTGTTAAGATTTCAGGGCAGCTATGTATAAAACTCCTATCATTGAAAAATGTTCCTGTCATAATTAAACACACTATGCCATCTTGAAAATTTCCAGTATCCTTCCAGATAAGGCAGCTGACAGTAATGATGGTTTTGGGAAAAGTAAACCTTTCACAATATGAAATCTATTGCACTCCTGTTTTACTATTGTAGACAGCTAACAAAGATAGACCATCTTTTTATTCTAGTTCATTCTTTCCCATTAATGCTTCACTGCTTGCTAGGGGGGGGGGAAAACTTTTGAGTGAGAATCTGGTAGAATACATCAGGAGCATCCAAGGAAAGACAGCAGAAAACTTACTCAGAAAGGCCCTATGTTGTCATTGGGATTGAAGGGTACTATCTGATGGGGCGCTCATAGAGTCATAGAATATAGAGTTGGAAGGGACCATGAAGGCCATCGGGTCCAACCCCCTGCTGTTGGAGGACACCAATTTACACCATCCCGGTCAGATGGCTGTCCAGTTTCTTTTTGAATTTCTCTAGTGTGGGAGAGCCCACCACCTCTCTAGGCACTTGTTGCCATTCAGTTCTCCTGCCTGTTGCTGCCTGCAGGTCGCCCCCACATCTGGAGGAACTGAGATTTAGTGCTTCTGGGACCAAACAGAAATGAGCAAATGTTCTCATTTCTGAAATGGGACTGGTTGGCAGAACTCATGTAAGTGAGTCCTGATCTGGAAAATGACTGCTTCCACTCATATTGGTGCTTCCTCTGGGAAGGTTAAATCTTTGTTCTGTAAATGGTGGTTCTGTGTTGTTCTATAAATGGAATCAGCATGGTGCAAGAGAATTGGCAGAATGTCCAGCGATGACATATTTTTTCTAAGTGTTTTAGGCAGTATTCCCAAGATGGACCTGGAAGCAATACAGTTCTTAAATATGTAAGAATCAATATTTGTGAGCATTTGGGCAACATGCTCCCTATGTTTTCCCACTTCTGACTGGTTAGAAATAGTTATTCACTACCCCCAATCTGTGTGTATTACGTCCTAGAAAATAAATACATATTTGTAAGAAAAGTAGCAAGCATTTTAATCATTTGTGAATTTTAGAGGTAACCCTGCATATAGTAGCAGAAAATTAATCTCCTTGCTTCTGATTTCTTGAGAACACTCAATGTAGTGTGGTAAGTAAAGACAAGAGGTAGCCTAAAGATCTACAAAATCTTGCTCCAAGGAATCCTAGTTTCCTGCCCTAAAACAAACTTCCTCAGATCATGCCTCCCTTAACAGCAGTATGTATATAACTAGAGCATGACTAGCTATACAGCTGGAGTGCAGAGCCCCCTTCAGCCTCAGACCATTTGGGGGGCCATATTCCAGTGGTGGATGAAGCTGAAGAAGTACAAGGGCAGAGAAGAACAGGGACAATAATACCAGAAATATGAACATATTTTAACTTAAAGCTCTCACTCACAGAAACTAAGCCTGAGGAGAGGCATTTCAAGCTTTTCAGAATGAGGCACAAACTGCATGAAAGCTAGGAAATCTTTTCCATTTGCCAGGGAAAAGGATCCATTGGTAGGGAGAAGGAAAATGGACTGGGACAGAGGGCATGCCCTGAAAAGGAGTGCCCTAAGGGCTGCATATGACTCCTGGAGCTGAGGTTCAGCATTCCTTCAAACTTTACACAGAATTAGGGTTTTTTGGACCTAGGATAGGTATAATATTTTAACACAAACTAGTGCAGAAATTCCTCAATCTGTAGTAGGACAGATGCCATCTCGCTTTTTATTTAAAAACTTAATAAATGTCAGTGTCCTGCCCGCAGCTTATACTGGTGATTCTTTCTTCCAGAAGAGAACAGGAACAGTATCATCAACTTGAGCCTGGAATCGGTCATACCGCCAAACATCAACAGTTGTTTCCTCCACTCCAACAGCACTCCTCAATCTAATATGAACTCAAGTGACCCCGACTTAGAAGTTATTAAACCCAGCAGGCCAAACTCACTGTAAGTACAGTCCTGATTGAAATGTCAGCAATTCCACTGAGCTGATGCACAGATCTATTCATTAGGAACAAGGTGTTGTTCTCCACAGAGACTGTTGGTTTAACAGCATTTTTAATATTAAAGTTAAGCACAATCTTCTGTTTTCAAACTCTGAACTCAGAGGTGCAAATAAACCTGTGTGTGTGTGTGTGTGTGTGTGTGTGTGTGTGTGTTTCAAAATGTTTCTATTTCTCTGAATTTACTATAAGTCTTTGGATCATATTTTATGTCTTTATGCCCTTGCTTGTAAATTTTTGCTCATGTCTTGTGTTTAGTGTGGGCTATGCAGAGTATTTTCCAATTTCATTTGCGTCCAGATTTAGAGGAAGAAAAGTGCTTTTGTCAGAGTCACCAGCTTGAATGTGTGTCAGTTTTTCTTCAGTTGAAAATATTCCAATTAAATGATTAATCCTACATCTCTGGGGAATAGTGCAGTTTATTAGGAATTGTTCTAAATCTCTCACAGCTGATTTTTTTTAAAAAAACATGAGCAGGAAGCTTATGTTTTGTGGAAATTTCCATCTTTTCACCCAGCTCCATTGTGTCTGCCAACAATAGCCCACAAAACTTCCCCTTCTCACCTGAGCTTCCTTTCTGCACAGATTCCGCTTCAGACTCTGTGCAGTAACTTAGTGTTACAAAACACTGATAGTAAGCAGACCTGTGTCCCTGCACCTTTGTATTCCAAATGGTCTAAATTACAAAATAAATTTCTGTGAGCACAGATGAGTTTTTCTTGTGTTTGCTCTACTTCATTGGTCGCTGCTTGAAACAGGGTTGGGAAACTGAACATCTGCTTCCAGATGTGTTTTGTCTTAGTGTACATTATCAGAGAAATGAGATAGAAGAAACAAAGGCTGCTGGTTTTAGCTTCAGCTATTGCAAACTCTGTAATGTTACAACATGGAATGTGTGCCAGAGCTACCAGCTAATACAGTGACTAATTTATTTCTGTCAAGTGTTCATATTATAACCCATTATGCTTCCAGAGCTGTCATAGATACCACATGCACCATGATGGTCTTACCATCACTTAAATATGTTCTTGGTATCAAGGCATTCTAGCAGCTGAGAAGGTTACAAAAGCACATACTCATTGACATAGTTTTTACACAACTTGACAATCCCCCATGAGTAATGAGCCATGGTCAGTTGCCATGTTGTCTGAAACCAGCCTGATTACCCACAGTGCCTTGCTGTTCTTTTCCCCAGACATGCCAGTCGGAGAACCCTTGGGTTGTTTTAGGGTTTGTTTGACTCAGAGTGGGCTGTCATGTCATCCAAAACACATGCAACTGAGTGTAAAGCCCAGCACCTGGCAATTTGCTTGGCAAGGGAAGCAAAATCCCCTTTCCACTCTTCCTGAGCTTTCCCTGGTCACCCTCATTACCACCAGAGCCAGCCACCTCACAAATGCCAAGCAGCAGTGGGAGCATGTGGCACTGGCTTGCTGCCCTGCTCACCATAGTTGAGAGCCATTTTTGGCTGGCCATGGATTTTTTTTCTACTTTAACCTCTCTTCTTGTAAATTGTGAAAGCCAGCTTAACATCTGTGGGAATTAGAAGCCTCTGCTGGAGCAGTATCCTGGAGGCTATCAAAGGGCAGCAGGTACCACTCCTTGTCATTGCCCCAGAGAGGCTCCAAATTTGCTTTCTCTTGACAGTCCTCAAAAGTGAAGCTTTCAAGAGAAAGCAATGTACAAGTGAACCTTGCTCACAAAGGCAGGTGTTGTGATCTACGCCTCCTTTGTGGCAAGATCCTCATCCTCCTTTTTTTCCTGCTCTGACAGGCCTCTCAGATTTGGACTTTTTCTCAGGATACTAGGTATTCAGGAAAATGCAAAAATATATCTTCCCTCTTCATTGAGTTTAACAGCTAGCTATCAAAATTCTGAATCCTCTTTAAAAGGGTTTTTTTTTTTGGTCAGTCTAATGTGTGGTCTTTGTCGTTGAAAAAGTTTTAAAGTGTAAGAAAGAGCCAAAAAGGCTCTCGATAACACTGGGGAGGGAGAAACAGCTCAGTCCTGCTCCTTGGGGTCCTTTGGGAAACTGCCTGGGACACCAAGACGAAAAGGACCAGGAGGGAAGGAGCAAAGAACCCATGGGGAACCCAGTTGTCTGTCAGGTACACAATGGCTTATTGTGAGGCAGGGTTGTCATGACATTCAATCCTACCCAATGGCTTACTAATTTTTGAGTTGCTAAGCTGTAAGAATGTGTGTGTGTTCAGCAACTTATGACTTTCATTTACAGTTCCTAAACTATATAGAGGATGGTTCTTCTCATGATATAAGGTTGCACATGCTTAGAGAATTACAAGCATTTACATGTTGATTTTAATCCCTGCCTCCAGCCCTTGTGCAGGGATGTTTCAAAACAACAGAAAATGATGGGCTCAAAATGAATCTTTATGTGCTTGGTCATTGAAATAGCTATCAAGTTCCTTTTGAAATGTGCAGAAATAAATCCTTAATGAATGGAGCTTTCCATACGCTATGGAGACAGCGGGAAGTCTGATTTTGATTACCAAACAGCTTTCTGGTTAGGAAGTAATCAAAGATCTCAATCCATCAAATTAGGGGATAGCATTATCATAGAGGAAAATGCTATCAATGGCTGCTAATCATGAAGGCTACATATTACCTCCAGTATCAGAGGAAGTATGGATCTGTATATTGATTGCTTGGGGAATATTAGAGTTGCTTGGGAATTAGTACTACTGCACTCAAGCCCTATGGGTGTCTGGTTGGTCTATGTGTAAACAGAATGGTGGACTAGTTAGGTCTTCGGTCTGTTCCAGCACAGCTTTTCTTACATTCTTAACTATTTAAGAGGTAGTTACTACTCCAAGATACGCAGAACGTGTGAGTTCGTGTTCTCTTATTGCATGCTGGGCTCTTGTTTTAGCAACACCTAGCCTCAAAAAGGTGTTTGGATAAGGGCTGTTTTGGTGGGAGAGAGATACATGCACAACATAGTCTTTTGAATCTGCATTTCTCTGTTGCAGTGTAGGACCAATTGCACAGAAAAGGCAGGCTGAGTTAGCCTAGCTGGACTCAGTTGGTGGACTACCATGCTAATATATGTATACATGTGCTCTTTTGCTCGCTCATTTGCTCAGTCCCCACCCCCACCTCCTCTCTCTAATACTGGCAATACTACTAAGAAGTTTGAGGCTGCACTGAACGGAGGCTGGCTTGCTTTATTTATTTATTTGTTTGTTTATTTAGAGTATTTGTATGCCGTCCCATCGCATAGCCTCGGGACAGCTTACATAAAATAAAACAAAACATAATACACATAAAATCCAGACCCACCTTGGCTGCAGATTAAAACCTGTAAGCTAATGTTAAAATTTATTAAAATATTGGTGAAATAAAAAGGTCTTAGCCTGGTGCTGAAAAACAAATAACGACAGCTTTGCTCTGTCCTGCCTCATCTCAAGACCTCAGTTTCCCTGTGCAGGCTTGACATTTTTTAAAAACCAAACAAAAGAACATGGTGGTTGACTTTTCTCCATGGGTGGTCTGTTCTGCATGTAATACCTGCCAGTCCTGATTATCTTGAGGAACTAAACACAACCTGTGTGACAGTCAAGCAGTGCAGGCCAAAAAGCAGAGCATCCACAGGACCAGAGATGCACTTGTGCAAACTCAGCAAAGTGCAGCCTGCTTTCAGAGCAGGGGACTGTAGGCGTAGCAGCACCACGGTGGCTCTGGAGAAGGCGGAAGCAGTTTCTGTGCATGTCAGAGAACCTGAAGAGAGGAGAGCTGGTTTCTCTATTGTGCCACAGAGAAAGGCTCCAACCTCTGCAGGTTTTCTGGAATTTGCTAAGAACTTGGAGCATGAAATCTTTGTGCTAGCCAACAGGAACAGGTGCATTTGTCAAAAATAGAAGACTAGTTGCCATTGGTGCTGTGGACTTTGGAGGGGACATCTTAGCACCTTCAGTATTGAAAAGTGCTAATATCAAGGATATCCGTGTAAAAAAACCTCTGCATACTTAAAAAAGCTGAACCTATGCCTATTGTCTTGAGATGAATATCAGTGTTATAACACTGCGGTTGTGCTTAAAGACACCAGTTAGAAACTAGATAAAAATATAAGAAACTGAGATATTTGTTCATACATGATACTCAGTACAGTTTTGCTTTTTCTGTGGTGTAGAAATTAATTTAAAACCTGTATTTGGCTTTATATCAGGGTGGCCAGACTTGCTCAACAGAAGAACCACATATGGTACATGTCACCACAAGACATGGACTCATTTTATTTACATCTCTGTCTCTCTTTCCCTCCCCCCCCCCGCTCTTTCTCTGACTCTCTCTCTCTCGTGTGTGTGTGTGTGTTATGACCAAACAGTCATTGCTACAATTATCAGGCTAGTTAATGCTAGTAGAAGTCTTGTGTGTCATTGAAAATTAGGCTGAAATCTTTTTTTTTACCCCTGAGGACAGTCAGCCCAACTGTGTAAGTGGATATTATTCCCCTGTAGCCATGTTTTTTTAACTTACCCCAGCAACAGCTGAAAACACATTTACAGTGCACTAAGTCCTAGGGGGCACAGTGAGTCTTTTTTCTGAGCAACATCCAAGACTTACATAGGAACCCCCTCAATTGACTCCTTGCCTTACTTCCTAAATGGCCTGATTTTCTCCTTGTTCTGCAATGGCAATTGAGGGGCCTCCCAAATCTTAAATTCCCAGTGCTTTCCCCAGTTATAACCACAGAAGCATAGTGAGCGATGCTAAAATGACTAATGGACATTTTTACATCCCCACCAGCTGTGTGCCTTTCTGGAGCCTCAGTGAGGCCATGACTTCTACCAGCACTGGGACACTGAATTGGCCATCTCACCAAGCAGCAGAATCGGTGACAGCAACACTCCATACCACACAATCTTACATACTTGTGGGGACAGAGGTTCACGTCTGAGACGGGGAGAGCATCAGTCCCCAAAC